TCTCTTTTCTTCTTCTTCTTCTCTTTTCTTCTTCTTCTTCTCTTTTCTTCTTCTTCTTCTTCTTCTCTTTTCTTCTTCTTCTCCTCTTTTCTTCTTCTTCTCTTTTCTTCTTCTTCTTCTCTTCTTCCTCAAGGCCCTGCCAAAGCATTTTTGAAATTTAGGGGTAATACACACTTGGCCACTTTCTGAAAATACAGGAAATTTCATTGCTCTGGAAAAATCAGAGAATGTGTGAAAGGGTGGTTAGAAGTGAGGAAAAATATATAGACAGTATTCCTAAAAAATATAGGGTTATTTTTTTGCTCAATTTATATTAGTTGAGTTTTTTTAATTTGATTAAATCAGATTCTAATGATTAAATCAGAGAGTTGACAAGTTAGTTCCAGGCTTAATATTTTCTTTCGGTAGTATGAAATACTATACAAAACGTATCAGTGAAAATTTCTAAAAATGTGAAAACTCAGGGAAATATGTTTCAAGCAATGAGAATCACCCCGTAATTACAGAATGCTTGCAACAAGAAGTACAAGTCTTTTTACAAGAAGTAAAAATAAATTAAATAGAAAAAATAATTTGTATTAATTTTGAGTTACATAATAAAATTTATGATAATTTGTGAGAATTAATTGGCGATACTGACTACACTTAATAGTATGACTGGGGCAATTTTGGAGAGAAGATAGGTGAAAAGATTACTGAGAAGTGGTGCACATGCAGACGTTGTGCATGATGCATGGGCATAAGTCTCTGTGCCAATTTTAGATCCAGAATATACTATAGATCAATTAGAAGGTTTTCTTTGCAATCTAAATGATTCAATCAATATATCATTGATGAAAAAATATTTCCATTTATTGTAGCACTTTATACATCATAACTTTTTATTTAATTTGTTAAAATTTTAATGCTTTATTATAAGACTGAATGAATGCAATTATTTCAGCAAATTTTGAAAATAAATAAATATTAGTATTACGTAACTCTGATCTGATAGCCCCTAAGTAGTGTAACACTGCCTTAAACCCCCTTCCCCCTCTTCATCTTTATCATAATCTATGGACTACCCCCACCTTTTTTTATGAACTTAACCCATTATGGCACTAATAAAAAATTTTAATTACTTACTTACTTTTATTTTACATAACAATACTTGCCAGAAGCATCACCTAACCCAGTTTGTATATGTTCTGTTTGTGAATGTTATTCCAATTTCAATTTCAGGTTTCAAAACCCCGTTTTTTTATAAAATTTTCTTTAGATGAAAACAAAATACATTGAATTTTTATATTAACTTCAAATTAATTAGCTGCAAACAAATTCTATTGTTTTTTTCATTGATTCTTACTGAATGATAAATAATTAATAGGATGATATAGAAGAAACGAGATTGTATGACCAGCAATACTCAGATACTGTCTGATACTGACCAGCAGACTCAGATACTGTCTGAGCTTATCAATGCTAAAAAATAGTTTTATGAAGAGTACAAACAATTGAACTGAAAATGTTCCAATGAGAAACTTTCAAAATTTTGAATTCAATAAAACAAAATGATTTGAAGAGAAGAAAACAAACAATTAAAAACAAAAATAAAA